GTACAGAGTAAGGGCCCTTCTAGATGTTCAAGTAAAGGCATGATCTGATGTGTTATCCAAACAATCACTCCAGCTGTCATGCCACACATTAACAGCAGGAGACATGATTGTAGGATGCAGCATCAGATCCTATCATGCCTTATTGCTGGTATAGCGGGAGCCCAGGATGACCGGCTATGGACCCTGTCACAGCTATGGACCCCGTCACAGGGGTGGCCACACATTCAATAAATGGCATGATAAGAGCAAGCCACATTTTTTTTTTTTAATGAAATAGCTTTGTAGTTTATTTCTTGTTTTATCATGCTATTAATTGTTTGAATATGTGACTAGGTCACAAGCTAAGATGTGATTAACTGGTTAATCACACCTCAATGTGTAATGTCAAGAAGGGGCCTAAGATACTGAAACACTTTACAGCACCATTAAATACAGAACATTAACAAAAAATGTTGACAAAACAGAAAACATATTTCAGTACCATTTTTATAAAGCACATATTCTGCCAAACACTCTTGTAATTAAATGAGCAGCCCCAAGGATTTTTCTGTTTCTGAGCTTATACCGAATATGTAATTTCTAAGTATGGTTTTGGTAACATCCTTCACAACACACTGATATAGTAGCAGTGTTTTGTAGATGTAACCTATTGCTTCTCACAACTTAAGAAAAATACCAGTATATAATTTTGAACAGAACTAACCAGGGTACCCAAGATGGAAGCAATTCTTATCTCATTCAAGGTGACAGCTAAACCTAAGTGGGAATAAAATCAGGTCTGTGTATTAATCACAGAAAAACCCAGTAGAAGAAAAAAAGAAGCTTAAAACTGAATAGAAAGCCTTTTTTTTCCTGTTTTACCCACTATACAATCAGCAAATAAAGTAACCCCTAAAGTGCAAAGACATTAGCAGGATTTAAAAGGCAGCCACTATGTACTCAAAGTCTATAAAATACCTCATAGTCAATTTAGAAATACCATAGATTGAATGATAGAAAGTTTGGGTTGTAAGCGACCTCAGAAGGTTATCTACGTAACACCCTGCTGAAAGCAGGGCCATCCCCAACTATCATCCTGGCCAAGACTTTGTCTACGCAAATGAAAAAAAAGATGCTCTGCTATCAAACCAAATATAACAGCATCTATAATTGAACTAGGATAAAGCATAATAATCCTCATACCTAAAGACATAAGCAAACATTTGCTGAACTATAAGGGATAAGCAGGACAAGCTGGATGTCTTTGTACATGCACAAAATTGTGATCCAACAGAGATAACAGATTTGGTAGGATACTTCACATGTCTGCTTCCTTCCCACACTGCAATCCTCCTTCTCTTCCTCAGGGTGGGTTCCTTGTCATGGTACTCTGCCTCTAACTTTGCAGCCCTGGGTCTCTTCCCAGGCTCTGAGAGCCCTTGGCCCAGTCTTGCAGCCACTGACCAACCAACCCTCCAACTCCTCCTGTCTGCTATCTCAGTTTGTCTGTCTGTCTCCCCCTCATTCTCTCATTTCCCACTTTCTCCCACTGAGTTCTCAGCTCTCAGTTCCCATTCTCTGGCTCCTTTCCCAAGAGCCTAACTCTCCCTCTGTTTGTGTCTTAAGCTATGTTCCCATGTAAGACTCCTAGCTCCCTTCCCTAGGAACCTTTTAGCTTCCTGTGGCCAGCCAATTATTCACATCTGCTGACCCAGGCATCCCAGGCAGCCTGCAATAAGTACCTACTTCCTGCCACTGAGCTATAGTCCTTGCAAGCCTGCAGAGTGCTACAACCAAATGTGTACAGGCTGCTGCCATCCTTTGTCAAACAGCCTACTACAGGGACAAAATCAGAAAGGTCAAGGCACAATCTGAGATACAGCTATCAAGGGACATAAAGACAACAAAAAGTATAGTATATTAAAAAATATAAATGCATTAGAAGTAAGAGAAAGACCACTTTGTGACTGAAAGGTTGCTTAACATCCTTCCCAGCTATTCAGTTGGTCCTAAAGATATATATTACCAGAAAAAAAATCCTTACTTTTGACTTTTTTGTATGAATTATCCAGGGATGAGTGTACAGCTAACAAAGATCAGGGCTACATAATCAGCCTACAGTAGGGGAAAATTATTAACTGTTACTTAGCTAACTAGATCAAGGCAATGCAAGGCTGATTGGCATAGGGCTGATTGGGGCAGATTGGGGTGGCACAAGGCCAATCAGGGCAGCATAAGCTTCAGCAGGGAGGCACTAGGCTGGACAGGGTAGCACTGGGTGGAACAAGGTGGTATGAAACATGATTCTGGTCCACAGGGCCTGATCCAGCCAGCAAACCAGCCCCAAACTACTTGACTGGCCCACAGGGTGAAAAGACTGAGTACCACTGGGTAAGATATCTCCAAACCAGAAGGTCCTGATATGACTCATCCTAGATTATTCAAGTAATTGGCTCTTCAAGGCCTCATGGAGATCAGCTGAGATCTCAGAAGACTGGAAAAGGGCAAATACAGTGCTCATCTTTAAAAAAAGGAAAGGCCCAGGGAATTATAGCCTGGTCAATTCAACTAGTTGCTCTGGAAAGATACTGGGGTATGTAAATCAAGCAAGCAATTTTCAAGCACCTAAAAGATAGTAAGGTAAAAGCCAACATGAGTTTGTTAAAAACCAATCTAATTTGTTAACCAGTTTAATTTCCTTCTCTATGAAGATGATGGGCAGGAGGGAGCACTGAATCAAAGGCTGGACAAGGGCTTCATAGGTCATTTAGTCCAAGCTTTCCCCATATTTCTAAACTATCTTAAATAAACTAAGGATATATGGTCTAGATCAGTGGTTCTCAACCCTTTAGGCTAAAGGTACCTCTCAGTAGATGAGAAGCATTCCCTTGGAAAACGTTAGCTCTTAGTTCCCACTTCTTTTCTGACTACAGAAAAATAACAGAGCAATTATTCTGTTGCAAGGAATTCAGAAAGCCCACAACAGGTCAGAATGGTTTAATGCTATAGATTTGTATTTGAAATCTCTTGGTTGATCTTGTGAAGCATGTTTGTACATGTAACAGTGCTAACATTTCAGGGTACCTTACAGCCCTCTTGAAAGGATCTCAAAGCAGTCCAGGGTACTACAGCACCCTGGTGAAAAAATCATTGGTATAGATTAAATTATTATATGACGGTTTCATTAACAAATGGGAAAAATCAGTGTCAAAACCAGGAAGTGATATCAAATGGGATTCTCCACAGATCAGCCCCCAGAAATTACTTGGGGAATGGAACTGAATATGCATTTAGTAAATATGAGAATCACACTAGCTGCTGTATATCTCCCTTTCAACTGCAAAGAGATTCTCTCTGGGGAAGACACTGGGAAAGATGAATCATAAATATGATCCAGAACTTAACTCATTGTTTTCCATGCTCTGCACAGGGTTAAGTATATTCTTTGTATTAATCAAAATAATTAGATTCATTTAAGAAATTTATTAATAGAGCATTATTGTAAAATAATGAAAAAGTATAGAGCAAAAGGAAACAGTCATATCTAGCTTTTCTTCAAATCCATAAATTACAGTGTGCATTAAAGATCCCAAAGTGTTAAAATGGTACTATTCAACTGGCACTTATGCTTCACATATTTATAGTGATTTTTTATGGCTAGAGTGCTCTATTGCATAGAATTAATATGCTATAATGAAAGCTATATATCTGCCCTCAAGCAAACTCTTTTTAAATACAATACATGAACTAATTTAATTATTCTGTACAACTACAATAATTTTCAAAGCAAAGAGATTACATATCCATGATGAAAAAGTCTGTCAATGTCTTATCAATTAATATTAAATAATATGCATCTCTCACAAATTGTTTTCATGATCATAAGATGATGTTTGAAGCTCATAGTATGAATATTAAAAGTAATATCTACTTGCTGTCTTTTGAAAACAGTGAAAAAAGCTAGGTGTACCCAGTCGCAAAGTCTTTACTCAGACAAAACTTTTATTAACACGATTACAGTTTTTCTTAAGTAAAGGCTTCAAGAATAGATGTTTAGTGCATTAAGTGTACTTTGAAAGAAAGCAAGTTGACTATTTTAATACTTTATTGTACTTTTAAAGCTATTTTCCTCATTTTCTGCTTTTGAGGCAAAATGTACATGTGCCAATCACCCCACAAATTGTTTTCTGTGCATTTAATATATTTCAAAATATATACCATTAATGAGCCTGCTGTTTTTTTCAGTCTTCATGTATCACAAACATTGATAAATTTATCAACAAGAGATCCAAAAAAAAGAAATTAAATACGTGAATACTTTTTTAGACATGAGATTTCTAGAGGCTTCAAAGACGTATATGGAGCAATTGACCCAACCACTTACAATATCACTGAGATACCTCACCTATCAGGAAATACACATCGTTCTAGAATGCATTTCATCTGTACATCTCAGGTCACAATTTTCTCAGACATGAAAAACAAAACCCTTAATTGCTAATGCCATTTACATCTTTATATCTTTTTAACCAACTTCTAGATTTAGAATAAGTGTGTTAGTAATCTTTAATATATCAATCAAGCACCTCATAAAACAATTGAAGTCAAATAGAATAATGAGTGACATTACAAAGGATGCAAATAGCATGCACTGGGATTTATTTAATCATTCCATATGTTGTATAATTATACTTAACCAGTAATTTGTCATGTGATAAATTTAGGAAAGAGATTTAACTCTATGATGCCAGAATTGGGATTTCCTGATATGATATATTATTGCAAATTACATGATTGTTAATGAACTCCCACCTGCACCCGCCACCAATTGGTAGGAAAGAAGAGATGAACTCTACCACCAGAACTGCAGCTGTGTATAAAGGTGTTGTCCCACCTGTAATTATCCTGCTAGTGGCTGCCTTGTAATGAGCAGGACTAGAAGGGACCTCTTGCATCATCAAATCCAATTTGCCTATAATTGCAGGATATGTGTTGTATCTTTTTCATAAATGTATCAATTTTAATAACTCCTTTTTTGGAAGGCTGATATCAGATAGCATTTTAAAACAGTCTATTTGCCGTGGAATTGGGCTACCAGCTCATCAGTTATGAAGATGGTGCATTAATATAATGAAATAAAGCAAAATAAACAAAGTCAATTGGGAAACTCAGCTGTGCATCAGTCAGCATTCCTTTATGCATACCATAGTTACACTACATTTCAAAATCAAGGAAATGAGAAATGAATCAGAATTATTACTACTTATTTTTTACATCCAAGCAGTATCTAACAGCCTTAGCCCTATTGAAATGGTTGGTGCACATACAGGACAAAAAGAAGGTCCTTTCTCCTAAGCAGGAGCTCAACCGTAAGTGGGGGTGGATGTGCAAAATAACAGAGAGATACTTACGATCAGTCTTATAAATAAAATTCAAGCCATCTTATGGCATGTATCTAATTCCTCCACTCAGACACGGGACTCATCTACTACTAGCACTTCTAAAATAACCAGCATGTAAAGAAGTTCCAAAAAACAAAAACACTTAAGAAAAAGTCCCGTGTGTGTGTGTGTGTGTGTACGTGTACAATATGAATTAAGGATTGAATCTAGCATCTTAAAAACAGAAATATAAGATGAACAACTAGATTAGTCATGAAAACATATATATGTGGAAGAAAATTGGAGCACAAAGTAGAGAGGACACACATGCTTTTTGTTTGATTAAAATCAGACTAAGCCAATCAGAATTACTGTTTAGTAAGGATCCACACTGAATTAAAGAACTTTAGTAGAATTTACTTTTATTTCTAAAACCATGTAGGTAATAGGAATGATGAAATGATGATGTGAACAATGAAAACCCCAACTTTTTATTTTTACAATCAGTCCACCTTAGATCATGATAATTAAATGTAAATATATGGTATTTTTTATTAGAAGGAATCCATCCATATTAAATATTATTTTTCTACTTTACCCACAAAATATTGCAAACTTATTTCTCAGAACATCCACTGGTGTAAACCAGCATTCTCCATACCTTTGTTAGCATATCTATGTCACTTTTAATCAGGTCATCCTTGATCCTTGCAAAGGTGTCTACCATTGCAATCTCAAAACAATTCTCAGCAAGATTTATGGGGTGGCTTATATTATGCAATACTGGTTTCTTTGAATTGCTCTAAATGTGGCATCTGAGATTAAAAACATATTGTAGAAAGTCCTTACCTACTGAAAAATATTGATGATTATCTCATCTCAGCAATATAATCCTTACATTGCAGACAGCTTCTATCTCAATAATAACTAGTTCCCCTACCCCATTCAGAACCAAAAATGTAAATATATTAAAAAAGCTTTGCCTTCAGCAAAGATGCTTTCAGAATGGAAATACTCAAATAAATGATAATAGGATTTTTTTTCCATCAACCTGTTCGTGTATCCATGCCACTATTTTTATTGATGCATTTTTCTTTCTAAACAAGGTTGAGTAGAAATCTACATTCTAATTAACATTTATGATATGACCGTGCTCTGATTAAAACTAAATGGCAACACATAAGAAATTTGCACTGATCATTCAAAATGAAGGTCTAATTGCTCCATGGTGATTAAGAATGGTTTTCAGCTGGGTTTCTTTAGCAATTAGTATATCCATTTGATAACCCTATGCTTCATTTGAGAAAGGGAATTCCTTTTAAACTTTTTGATGAGATGACAACTTAGAAACACACTTAGTATGCACTGTGTGTCAGTCACAATACTGTATATTGGCCCATTATTCCCCATTAATTATCAAAATATGGATTGTAGATCAGATCCTGCCTTCTAAGGCATACATTGGCTCTTAGCATCCTTGGGTAATGCACACATACAGCTGAAAACAGAATTTGGCTGCCTTAGCCATACCAATTTAAAAGTAAAATCACCAATGGTTGATATTTGTCTGGTGAGAGAGCCTTCCAAGGTGAGTTTAGCAAAGGCTGCCAGCCCTGGCAAATCCAATAGGGCCAGATCAGAAATGGTCCAGTAAATTAGCACACACATATATATAGTAGAATAATAGAAGTTTCAATTATCGCCCATTCAAAATTAAATATGGTCCCCAAAATTGTGCTGAGATCATAATCTACATAGTTAGCACAAAATATTTTGTTGAAGACTAGGACAGTCTACATCAATTCCTTAAAGCAAGGACAGTCTTAAAGCAAGGGCAATTCCACAACACTAGGACAGTCTACATCAATTCCTTTTGCATGTTCCTGTACTGTTGGAGTATTAGAAAAGGGCTCGATATACTGTAAATCAAAGGAGTACTTGGCTTAATTGTACTTTAAATAATTAGTCCAGATCAGAGTTCTTGGCCCAGTCAGTGCCAATCATGGTATCAAGGCAAGTCTGGATTAGTTCTTTAAAGGCTGGGCCCATCCTGCAGTACTTCATGTAGGTACCTGTTCCTGACCCTCACATGCTTCCTTGCTTCCCCTATTGGATCTCTGGTTTGACTCGTGACTCCTGGCATATTCTGAAACTGGTTTTGATGCTGACTTCAGGCTAATCCTGACACTGGCTTCTGACTTCTGATTCTGGCATATGCTGATGCTGGTTTTTGCTCCAGATTCTGGTCTCAGCTCCTGGTATATCCTGACTCTGGTTTGGCTTCTAATGCTTGTTTTGATGTCTGACACCTCTGGATCCCCAGTTCCCCAAACCTAAACAACCCTGCTGAATGGTCTTCAGTTATTGCCCCAGTTTAGTACCACTTTTAAATTGAAATCATATATCCAGGTCTCCATCTTTAACCATATTATGGTGACTGTCTCATTGCTTTCAAGTCCACATCAACAAGTATTTGCACATTGATTAGAACATCAAGAACCTGTTCACTGTTTGAGCATAAACTGCAATCAATTCCTGAAAATACCAAAGCCAGAAAATCTGTCTGTCTCTGGCTGTGTACACATATTCAAATGTTCTTCCTGGTGTACTTTTCTGGTACAAAAAACTTAACCAGAGGCACCTAAACAGACATTTGAATGCTGAGTTCTTGAAGAGCAGAGACCTTATAGTCCTGATGCTGCACAGCCTGGGGGACCCTGCACACATGCTCTCCAGGCTCTTTCAGTCTGCCCAGAGACAGATGGCAGCAGTGTACAGAGCAACCATGATTGGCAGACCCAGACTGCTCAGGGTCAGGCTAAGTCTCTCTGAATTATAATGTAAAGATAGTGAAGCAGGGGCTGTTCTAATCCTGGCTTGACTGGAGCAGTAGAGTTTAGCTCACTGGGGGAGTGTGGGGGAAGGGAGCAAGGCATCTTGAGATGTTGCAGAACTGTGTTGTGGCTTCTCTCAGCAGACAACATGTACAGACATTTGCTCTCCTAGGAAAAACTTTCCTGGAAGGGATTAACCTAGTTGTTCCCAGGTTATTTTTCTTCCGGAACCCTTGCGCTGGGAGAAAAATCCTGAATATCTGTGCACATGTGATTTCTCATGGCAAAGCAACAATTTGTCCCATGAGAAACAGCATGTCTGTACACAGCTGCTGTCAAAATACTATATTATCTCACATACAACACACTTCAAACAAAATACATGCCTTGTTTTCAAAAGACTGAATGCAGAAAGAAGATTTGTCTCTGAGTTCCTCTGCCGGGAAGAGGAAAGGAGGTGAAGTGTCCCCAGGCAGCAGCTAGGGAACCCTGTAGGCAGCTTTGCTTTCAGTTTCCCCTGAGGGAGGCTTAAGCCGTAGAAACTGTTATTGTGCATCCTCAGTTATAATGCTCACCCATATTCCCAACAACTGAATTTGGGGTGGGGAGAGGTACATATGCAGGGGCAGATCCAGGGTTTAGCAAAACAGGGTGAGGGAGCAGGTACCCACACAGCTGAACCCCCACCTCCAGCCTCCTCCCTGCCCCACTCACCAGTGTGGGCAGAATACGTGGTGGGGGTCTCTGGGGACTTTTCTGAATCCCCAGAGCACATAAGAATCTCATCTTTCCACTCCTTGCTCAAAAGCATACCTCATTCCCTCCCGTTCAGCCCCACCATGCCTGCTGCTGCCTTTCACTGTTGCCTTCCAAGCTGCTCCTGTCCTCTCTAGCCAGGCTGCATGAGGACTGGGCTCAGCTGGGAACAGCTACAGTAAGAGCAGCAGCAATGGCTAGAAGCAGATCTCCCTCCCTGCACCTGGTCCTGGAGGAAGCAGGCAGCATGGGGGAACCTACCCCCCTCACCCATTACCTCTGCCACTTCTGCTGTCCCAGCTGAGCCTAGCCCCCATGCAGCTGGCAGGAGTAGGCAGGGGCAGCTTTGAAGTGGGGAAGGCAGCAGTGGCAGGCAGGGAAGCAAGGGGAAGGGGGCAGAAGGAGCACTGGGGGGAAGGGGGTGGAGGGTTGGGAATTCATATATGCTTCAGGGATTTAAAAAAAAGGCCCCAGAGGCATGGTCCAGTCTGAAAAAGTGGGTTAAACTGAACCACTGCACCCCCTCTGGATCCGACCCTGTATGTGACCAAATATATTAATTATTGAGTAATTATTATTATTATTATTGTAAGCATATCTATTTTGGTTAGAAAAGTTCTTTTCAGGTTGATTATGTCCCTTGTGATCCTCAAAGCATAAAGCAAGACCCATTTTAAACAGTAGTGACTTGCATTAGACATAGCTGTTAAATATATTTCAATTAAGTTGCATGAAGTGTTGAAGGAGACCGAAAACAGGAAAATAATTGAGTTTCCAGTTTAATCTCACTCACCAGTGAACGGCATATGGTATTTCTCTGCATGTAATTATAGTGGGTTCCCTGAACAATCATTTACATGTTTTTAAATGCCATATCTGTGATAATTCTCCATTTGAAGTAGAAGAAAGACTAGAATATGTAATTAAAATGGTAGAAGTGATAAATGACTTTTTTAAAGGTTAATATTTTTAACGGGTAGGAGAGGACACAAATCTTTTTTTTCCTTAAAAGCATGTTCTTAGTTAGTAATGTTAAAACCTATAGCACAGTGACTAGTGATGCAAAAGAAACAGGCACAAGTAAATTTACTGGGGAGCAGAGAAGTTACTAAAATAACATTAATATTTTTCTCATTTTAGTGACATCATCTTGAAGCCCTTTAAAGAGTGGTCTCTCACACCTCCACTCCCAAATAGCATTCATCAGAAGCAAGACTACGCCAAGATATAAGCTACTGATTTTAAAAGCAGCACTCCAAAACAAAGGGAAAGAAATAGATGCACATTAGAGTATGTTCTTGCAAATAACAGAAAAGGAAAAATATGTGAATATGCAATATGTGAAAGGACCACAGCCTTCAACAGGACTATGAAGAGTATGGGGTTCTTCCCAGGTACATCCTATCACAGGACTGAGTCCTTTATAAAGAACTTCTTATAAACTGAATGTGCCTTAATGTGGATGTTTAAGCAATTAGAGCTATACAGCGTTTTCCCTAC